ACTCTCAGAAAAAAAATTCTCATCGTTGTCCTAAATGGGCAACCCTTTATTTTCGAACAGTGACCCCCAATTTAGATCTTCCCATGAGGAAACATTCAAACCACATTCACCCTGTCAATACCCATCAGGATCTCGGCCTTGGATCTCAAAAGGAACGGAATATAAAATAGAGGGGTTTTGCTAAAATTGTAGGCACTAAGTCAGACTATAGCTGGAAAACTGTGAACAGTTTTGGGCCTCTTTATCTAAAGAAAGATATAATGGCCTTGGAGGCAGGCAGGGAAGGTTCACTAGACTGATGCCAGGAATGGAGGGATTTCTTTACAAAGAGACATTGTGTAGGTTGAGCCTGTACTCACTGGCAATTAGAAGAATGAGAGGTGATCTCACTGAAACATTCAAGATTCTTAAGGGTTTTGATGTGGAGGTGCCGGTGTTGGTCTGGGATGGACAAGGTCAGAAATAACACAACACCAGGTTATAGTCCAACAGGTTTATTTGAAATCATAAGCTTTTGGACTGCTGTTTCTTCGCCAGGTGACAAAGGAGCAGCGCTCAAAAAGCTGGTGATTTCAAATAAACCTGTTGGACTATAACTTGGTGTCATGTGATTTCTGACCTTAAGGGGCTTGACAGGGTAGATGCAGAAAGATTGATCCTAGACTCTCCCACAAGGGGAATCAGAGGGTATCATCTCAGAACAAAGGGGGTCACTCATTTAAAACAGAGATGAGGAGGAATTTCTTCTCTCAGAGGGTAGTGCACCTGTGGAATTCTTTACCACTGAGGGCTATCGAGGATGGGTAATTAAGTAAATTCAAGGCCAAGACAGACAGATTTTTAATCAGAAAGGGAATCAAGAGTTATAGGGAAAAGGCAGAAAAGTGGAATTGAGGATTATTACATCAACCACAATCTCATTGAATGGTGGAGTAGACTCAACGGGCCAAACAGCCTACTTTTGCTCCTACATGTTATGGTCTTATATGCTCAACAAAGTCGCCTCATGCTTTTTCTAAACTCTTCTGCTGTAATTCCCTGCTATGGGATCACACAGCATTTAAAGAAGAGGTAGATTTTTGAAATAATCAGGGAGTTGAGGGCTATGCTGAGCAGGCATAAAGGGAGTTTGAGGAGATGGGCAGATTGGCCATGATCTTGTCGAATAATGGTGTACCCTCAATGGGCTGAATGGCCTACTTCTGCTATTCCTTACGTCCTTTCCTTCTAACTAATAGCAACTATATCTTCAGCTGCCTGAGCTCCAATTTCCAGAACTGCAACCTTAAACCTCTCCACCTCTGCACTTCCCTCTCCTCTCAATGTTTCTTTACAAATATTTTCCCATCAATCTGCTCAGAAAGGTTCTGACACACCTCAGGAGAAGGTGGGTCTTGAAACTGGGCCCCCCGGCTCAGAGATAGGTACACTGTCAAAGTGCCACAACAGTTTTTACTTTAAATCTAACTCTTCAACCAAGAAGGCATTACACAAATGCAAGGTGTTGGTTGTTGTTTCAAAGTCTGTTCCATGGTGAGAAAGTGGATTTCTCCAACAAGACCTCACCTCCACATCCAGCGGTTAATATAATGACAATTCTGTGTCATTTCAAAAATGACAGGGTAGGCAGACAATGATATCAACAATCGGAGTGATTGTAATGAAAGTAATTATAGTAAATCCTCCTAATGACATGTTGACTTGGATTTCAGATTAATGTTGACTTCAAATACCAAGAATAAAAACCACTGTTTAAACGTAAACATGCATGGATTAATTGTCCAATTTGGCTTTGCTTAGCATCTCTGTATGGTTCAGAGACTGTACAGCAAAATGTATGTTGGTATTTCTGCTCAAAGCAATTCTCATGCCCGCCATCTTCATCTCACCCTATTGTTACATCCTTCTTTGTGTTTATCGAATTTTCCTGTAAATGTATTGATAATACTTGCCCAACCCTGCCTCTGGGAGTGAGTTCCACATTCTCACCAGTCTCGTGCTGAGGATATTTCTTCTGAATTTCCTGTTAAGATTTACCTTTTATTCGACAAAGAATGCTGAAAGTACTCAGCAGGTCCTGGCTGTATTTATGCAGCGAGAGAATCAGAGTTAATGTTTCAGCTCTCTGACCTTTGCTCAGTTCAGACAAATCACCATCTTGATTTCTCCACAGATGTAGCCAACCTGCTGAGTATTTCTAGCACATTCTGTTTCTCATTTCAGATTTCAAGCACATTCAGATCTCAATCAGGTCACAGCTATCTCAGCTTTCTAAAAATAGCCCCTCCCTGTTCATTATTAACTGAAAGTTGGAATTGTTCAGCTCTGGTATTAAATTGGTGATCTTTTTTGCACCTTCCCCAGAGCCTATAACCTTTATATAAGATGGAAATTTGAAGCCATATTCCCAGGGGATGTCCACTCAGGGTTATAAATTTAACATAATCATTTGAATTTTACAAACTCTCATTACAAATAAATAGGTCTCTGCATATCTATTGTCCATTTTGTTCCTTTTAGAGTGTCTAGTCCGTTGTGCCAAACTCTTATAAACTCAAGAGCCATTTTAAAACCAAATTGCTTGGTAATATGTGATGTAAAAGAGGGAGATTCTGTTGAAGCTTTTTAACCTTCACTGCTCAGGACACATGCAAGAATGCCAAATTTCAAATAATCACACTATACTATAGGAGGGGAAAAAAAAGGATGCTGATTGGTTGGCAGGTTGACCCCAATTGGCTGAGATGTTGCCATGGAGAAAGCAATGGGGAACTACATTAGCCAGGTAATTCAAACAAGGTGCAAGGTTTGAACATGTTCTTTTTACTTGCAGAGAGTGCAGCCCCTGCCTATCAATGTAATCACCTTAGGAAAATGTAAATGAAATATGTTGTGGGCTCAATTCATTATTTGTTTCACTGGCACTCATCAGGACAGATGCAAGAATGCCAAATTTCAAAAAGTGAACATAGTGAGAAAAGGAGTATTGATTGGTTGGCAAATGATTGGTCAAGGCACTGCCATGGCAAATGTGTGACGTTTATTTGAAAAAGATGCAAAGCCTGGACAGTTTCAGGTTGCAGAGGGCTGGGCCCTGCATATCAATATTTAGCATCCAGCAAGCACCAGTGAGCCACACTGCAATCCTTGTTGGTAAATTTAGTGTAACTCTTAGCAAATCTGTAGAGCAAGTACTATCCAATCAATGTCCAACTTAGGTGTGTTTCCATGGCCTCAGCTTTGTAAACATGGTCAGTACTCTGTCTCTTGCAAACAGCCTAAAGGGTCATGCTGCTTAATACAAACGTTTCAGTCTTCGGGACATATGACCTACCTATCCAGCATCACACTGGCATTAAAACTGATATCCCACATTACTAATGTGTGTGGGTAGGTAAAACATCCCTTTGGCTGAAATGGCAGCGTCCTGTTTGTGCTGACTACCGCTTGTGTTGCTCAATTTTCCGAGACACCTCATCCTCCCAGGGTTATCGGAAATGGACAGGGCAAGTGAGACAGGGGCAGCCGCTTCCCTCAGGCCCAGAGGGTTACTGAGATACAGTGAGCAGTGATCCGATCCACAAGATAACATCAATGCTTCCTGCTTCAGCATTAAGACCACACAGTGACCATATGACTTGGTCCCTCTTTACAAGGTTGTCATAAGGCCAATCTTATATTATCAGGAGCTGTAAGAATCCCAACGTATACACTGACCAGTGGGCGAGAGTTTGTGGTGGACAGCTGTGGAGAACCCATTAATGGATTTCTCAACATGCACATTGAGTAAAAGGGTCTCTGAAGAAGGAAGGGTCACTCGACCCAAAACATCAACTCTGATTTCTCTCCACCGCTGCTGTCAGACCTGCTGAGCTTTTCCAGCAACTTCTGTTTTTGCTTCTGATTTACGGTGTCCATAGTTCTTTCAGTTTTTAAGGGGTGTTGTTAGACTGCTCCATTTCAGAAGGTGAATCTGAGCTCAGGAAGGAGCCCACTGAGGAATTTCTTACATAGAGCTTCAGGTTCAAGGACAGTGAACACCATATGCACGTAAATGAAAGTGGTAGAAAGCAATATTAAACAGGTAGTTAGTGTAGCTATTAGCACACTCCAGATTGCTCAGCAATTGCTATCAACTGTGGGATTACATTGAAAAGTTGAGAGACTTTGCCTTTGGTTTTTAGGACCAAGGGAAACACCCTCTTATTGGTAATGTGAGTGCTACTTTTCACTAAGCTGTGGCTAAGTGAAACACTTGCTTAAACTGTTCAAACGTTTGAGTGACAGTGTCTTACCAGGATAATGTGAGGTAGGTCCAAGCACGTCACAGGTCTGAGCTTGGTGGTGTTTGGCCAATGTGTGAGAGTTTGTGTGACAGACAGCAAACAATGATCTGATCAGCACAGCCACTGTCCCACAGGATGGCAATGATGGACTACACCTTACATCAAGTTTGCAAGCTGAGTAAACAGCTTGGCAGATCAGGAGATTGGTCAATAGGTGAGCTATTTGACTAGAGATACACTCATTTACCAGAGTCCAACCTCTGGGGCAGAAGGTCAGAGTTCAAGTTCCATTCACTTACAAAAAGTGTGTCATAACAAATCCCAACAGTTTGATTAAAATAACCACACTAATTTATGATAATTAATTAAGTTTGTAACAAGGCTCCTTCATGCATGCTGGAAGTGACATACATTCGTCCACAGGGACCCATCCTCTGCAAACAAAAGGAATGAGTTCAAGCTTTTTGTCTTATCTGAATCATCCGGGAGCTTGGGGAGCCTTTAATTGGTCCATGTCAATATCCTACCCAGTGCCAATTTGTCAACCTTTACCCCATACTTTAAATTGTTGTAATAGCTGAAATTTGGCATTCTCACATGTGGCCTCATATGTTTAAATGAAAGGTTTCAGCAACAGGTCTCTCGCTTCAGCAAGATTCCAGCTCTGTACCACCATGTGACTGCTCTGCAATTCCCCAATTCCGCCAATCTCACCGTCAAATTCCAGTTGATCTGTGGTACTTTCGTGTGTAGGTTCAGACTGAACATCAGCAACAGAACTCCAGTCACCACAAACGCCGTGCAGCTAACAAACTCGAAAAAGTACAGGCCCCCACATGGCAAACACTCCTTCACCGTTTCAATGCAGATGAAAGCTATTAGTGCCAAAATCTGAAAGGAAAACATACACTTTATAAATAATATACTTCAAGGGTCAATATAATTCTCACCCCGCCTCAAAGGGATCTTCTTGAGAACTATTTTTTGGTTTTCAAGTGCCTTTTATAACTCCCCTTTTCTCACAAACTAATTTTAGGCAATGCAGTCACATAATAATGTATCTGTGATGATATAACAAACAATGTGGATTCTCATAGAAGCAAAATTAGAAGATTTCATCAATAACCTCAATAATTATCAATCCTCCAATGAACCAAAAGCCAGAACACATGGGGAAAGTAATAACTCCTTAAAGACCACTGTATTCGAATTGGCACAAGACAACTGGCATAAGTCAGCAATAATAGATTTTTTCCCCCAAAGTAACTGAGACACTCCTACACAAAAAATGATCACCCTAAGCACCTTCCACACAACGATGGCCTCACAACTAATGCTCCCATCATGTGTGCAAAGCTGGAAGCTTTTACTGAACAGTTATTAACCTGTTACTGCATCTCAGGTCTCAACCTCAGAATTAAATTTAACAGGGGGAGGCGATGGCCGAGTGGTATTATCACTGGACTGGTGATCCAGAGACCCTGGTAGTGTTCTGGGGACCTGGGTTTGAATCCCACCACAGCAGATGGTGGAATGGGAATTCAATAAATATCTGGAATTAAGAGTCTAACGATGACCATGAAACCATTGTCAATTGTTGGAAAAACCCATCTGGTTCACTAATGCCCTTTAGGGAAGGAAACTGCCATCCTTATCTGGTCTGGCCTACATGTGACTCTGGTTGACTCTGAACTGCCTGCTGGGCAATAAATGCTGCTTAGCCAGCGATGCCCTCATCCCATGAATGAATAAAGAAATAAAAATAGCGCTCATTACAATAATATCCACTACATTTGCCCCCACATGCAGCCTTAAGCTAGAGAATCCACACACATTTTCAATGGATTCATATTCTCAATGGTTTCAACTTTTCCCGATTCCCAGTAAGTATTCCTTCGTTGAAAGGTTTGAAAGACTGCTTTTCTTTTGCAGCCTCAGTCTCCCTAACACCACTCACAGTTGCTGCTTCCCTGTCTGTCAACCCCTTCCAGCCCTCGCTCTATTCCCAACAATTCCTGGGGCCTCCATCTTAACCCAACCCTGGTTTGGAGTCTCTGTCTTCCCAAACCCCCACCTCTCCCCTCCCCTCCCATGACTCTAGCAGCCCCCTTCCTCACCCACAAGTTGGAACCTCCGCCCCCACCACACCTGATCCCACAGCTCTTGGCAAAAGGATCCCATCAGGAAATCCCTCGCTGATCCAATCAGGAGCTCTTGCCCACACTGACTGCTGACAGAATCTAATTCGCTCCTGAACTGAACATATCTGTGTGTGTGTGGGGGGATGGGGAAAGCTTTTCTCTAATTGGTCAGCCCATTGAAGGCATTTCCCTTCCTTAAACATTCCATGGATTGAAGGTGAATTCATCTATAGCTGCTGTGTATTTTGACCATTGCTTTGCTACTGGTTTCTGTCCTTTCGATGCTGTGATGTGGAGGTGCCGGTATTGGACTGGGGTGGACAAGGTCAGAAATCACACGACACCAGGTTATAGTCCAACAGGTTTATTTGAAATCACAAGTTTTCAGAGCGTAGCCCCTTGTTCAGGTGCAGTCACTTCATCTGACAAAGGAGCAGCGCCCCAAAAGCTTGTGATTTCAAATAAACCTGTTGGACTATAACCTGGAGTCGTGTGATTTCTGACCCTTTCGACGGCACAAACATGCTGATGTTTTTGGCAATGATAGCAACCAGGTCTCCTGACTGTTACTGAGACTATGTCTAGTTATAGAATCATGCAGTACAAAAAAAAGAGACCCTTCAGCCCATCAAGCCCTGCACTGACAAAAACCATTCTAAATCTACTCTAGTCCCACTTCCCAGCACATGGCCCATAGCCTTGCGTGTTATGACATTTAAGTGCTTGTCCAAGTACTTTTTAAAGGTTGTGAGGTCTTCCCACCTCATTTGCCCTCCCGGAACTCCCATCACCTTCTGGGGGAAAAAGCTTTTACCTCAAATCCCCTTTAAACTGCCTGCCTTTCACCTTAGAATGATACCCCTTCGTTATTGCCCTCTCAGATAGTAGGAGCTGCTGCTTTCTATTCACCTTGTCCCTGTGCCTCATAATGATTGTGGCAAAGTGGTAGTGTCCCTTCCTTTAAGCTAGGAAGTCTGAGTTCAAGCCCCACCTGCTCTAGAAATAAGTAATAATATTCCTTGGAAAATATATCCTGCAATCTTATTCGTCTCAATCAGGTCCCCCTCCTCAACCTTTCCCTGCACTAAAGAAAACAACCCGAGCTTATCCAGCCTCTCTTTATCACTGAAATGCTCCATCCCAGGGCACCATCCTGGTGACTCTCCCCTGCACCCCCTCCACTTCAATCACATCCTTCCCATAGTGCAGCGACCAGAACCTGACCACAGCTCTATACGACTCTACCATAACCTCCCTGCTCTTATTATCTGTGTCATAACTGATAAAGACAAGTGTACTGTATGCCTTCTTAACCAACCTATTAACCCATCCTGTCCCTTTCTGGGATCTGTGGACAAACACCCCAAGATCCCTCTGTTACTCTGAGCTGCCTGATGTCTTACCATTCATCGAGTACTCCCTTGTCTTGTTACTTCTTCCAAAGTGCATCACCTCACATTTATCACCGACTTTCCCATCCGACCAATCTGTCTATGTCCTCCCGTAACTTAAGACCTCCTTCCTCACTGTCAACCACCTGGTGAATATTCGCGTCATCCATAAACTTACTGCTTCAACTTTTTCTTTTATCTGGTTTATATATATTATAAACAATAAGGGACCTAGCAGTGAACCCTGTGGGACATCATTGTACACCAGGCTCCAGTCACACCAACAGCCTTCCAATCACTGCACCCCCCCAACAAGTCTCCTCCCACTTAGCCAACTTAGCTTGGGTCCCATGAGCCTTTACCTTCCTTACCAGTTGCAATATGGAACCTTATCAAGGACTTTGCTGAAATCCATATAAACTACATCAAGTAGTGACCGCACCTGGTCACCTCCTCGAAAAAGTTTATCCAACGTGTTACTCACTTTTGACCACTCTCTGACAAAGCCATTCTGCCTACCCCAATAAAACTTCCCTCTCCAATCTCCTCTGCAATCAGGAGCTGTTCTCACACCACAGTCATTGAGGACGAGGAGGAGAAATGTCTTCACCCAGAAAGTTGGGAGCCTGTGGAATCCTCTGCCACAGAAAGTGGTTGAGGCCAAAACAACAAATGCTTTCAAGGAGGAGGTAAATGTAGCTCCGAGGGCTAAAGAGATCATAGAAAATAGGAACAGGAGCTTGTTCCACCATTCAATATGATCATGGCTGATCATCCAACATAATGCCCTGTTCCCACCTTCTCCCCATATCCTGTGATCTCTTTAGCCCCAACAACCAAATCTAACTCCTTCAATGTTCAATGTTTTGCCCTCAACTGCTTTCCACGGCATGTGGATCTGTAACATGTTGTTTGAAAGCAGTGAGTGGCAATGAGTTGAAACTCACTGCTCACAAGTGGGTTATTTACGCAGAGAGTGAATGATTTCGAAAGGAAATTAGACAGACACTCGAAGGAAATAAACTCTCAGGGTTACAGGGATTGAGTGGACAGCGAGACTGACTGGATTGCCCTGCAAAGAGCCACTGTATACTTGAAGGCTGAATGGCCTCATTCCCCCTCCCTCCAAGTTTCCTGCTGAATATTTGTCCCTCAAATCAGCGAAAGCAGCTTATTCTTTTACTATCGCATTTTCATGGCATCCTGCCATGTCCAAGTTAGCCACTGTGCTTACTATAGTACAACAGTGACTACATTTAGGAAACAAAATTGCACTTCAATGATGTATCCCAAAGTCAAGGTGCTACCAAAATGCAAGTTATTTTCTTTTTTCTGGGATTTATGTGGATCAATGCCTTTAAATGACAGATTCAGAGAGGTGACATTTCCTGCATATTTGCATTCGGCTGTACCTGACTCCCACAGACCATCTGCATAGCTGTCTGCGCATCAGATGATACAAATCTAGACTAGCATTGCTCGAGAATTTAAACACAGTTCAGAATAACTGCCCTGAAACAATTGCCTTTCTTTCACTATCACTGGGTCAGAATCAGCGCTGGGGATGTCTCTACACACCAGGGACTGCAGCATCTCAAGGAAATGATGACCACCACAATCTCCTGACGGTAATAGGGATGGGCAATAAATGCTGGCCTCGCCAGCAATCTCCACATCCACCTGAATGAATGCTTAAAAGTGCAAATGAAAAAGAAAATATCAGTAAAACTGGCAATGCTGTCAGATTGTTTTGGGGAGATGAATCCCACCCCAAGACCGTAAGATTCTACAAGGCAAGGCACACATGTGCTGTAAAACTGCCATGTAGAACAGTCAGACTCGGTGAATAAACTGCTCCCTCGTCATGAGAGATGAAGCTTCCATCTAAATGGAGTTTGAGGGTGAAGAGGAGAGATGCCTGGAAGCCACTGCAGTGCAGGCAAGAGAGACAGAGGGAGGGAGTTATCCCAGAGCCATGACAATCAGAGAAGGGTCAATCAGGGACCAACGCTCCAACCAATCTCCCTGTGGAGATGCCTCTGACCAGCTCCAGTACAAGCCCAACCCTTTCCCTTCCACCCTCACTCTCAATCCTCAACCTTCACTCTTCCTCTCCTGACAGCCCTTAAAGTGTAGCTGCCTCACTGACCCTTATCTCCCCCACCTCCTCAAATTACAGAACCAAAGACCAACTGATGACAGTCCATGGGGCAAATGCAGAAATAAATTCACAGCTTCTTTCCATACATGATCTTGGAATGACCCAGAGCACTTTTGAAGCCAATCAAACACTTTATGGTCAGTCACTTTTGTAACGTATGAAACTCACACAGCATGATCCCATCAAAAGTGGATAATGTAACAAGGACCAATTCAGTTGAACCTCAAATCATGAGGGGCATGGATATAGTGAATAGCCCAGTGTAGGAGAGTCTAAAACTACAGGGCAAAGGTTTAAGGCGAGAGGGCAAAGATTTAAAAGGGGGCAACTTTTTCACTCAGAGGGTGGTGCGTGTATAGAATGGGCTGCCAGAGGAAATGGTGGAGGCTAGTACAATTATAACATTTAAAAGGCATCTGGATGGGTATTTGAAAAGGAAGAATTTAGAGGGATATGGGCCAAATGCTGGCAAATGGGACTCAATTAACTCAGGATATCTGGTCGGTGTGGACGAGCTGGACCAAAGGGTCTGTTTTCATGCTGTACATCCCTATGACTGAGTTTGATATAGTTCTTAGTGTTAAAGGGATCAAAGAACATGGGGAGAAAGTGGGAACAGGGAACTGAGTTGGATGATCAGCATGATCATATCGATAATGGGGTAGGCTCAAAGAGGGCTGAATGGCCTACTCCTGCTCCTATTTTCTGTGTTTCTATGTTAACTGCAGACAGGGCCAAGGGAATAGCAATGAGACATTCCTCCAGAAATGAGGAGAGCAATGGGCAAAACAGCTGCTTAAAAAACCCCCTCTCACACACACAAACAAACACACACACACACACACACAGACAGACAGACAGACAGACACACAGACACACAATACTCTCTTTCAAGCATCAGCTCATCATCTTCACATCAGAGGAGGCCATTCAACCCATCGAGTCTGTGTTCATTTCCCCCACAGTCTACCTACAGCTTTGATTCTCTTTAGGCACTGGTCCAATTTTGTTTCAAAAGCCTCGATTGACCCTATCTCTGCCATCCTCTCAGGCCCCACATTCCAAACCCTAACCATTCAGTGTAGCAAAATATCTGTCCTCCAGTCACCTCCTTGCCAATATCTTCCACGGTTAGTCTTAACTCTTCCAATACTGGGAACAGATTCTCTTCAACCACTCTCTGTAGATCCTCCCTGTGATTTTATCAAATCTCTTCTGAGGTTTCCCTTCTCTGTGAGGAGAAAAACCCACCACCTCCGCACAGCAGCAGAAAACAATGCCAACCTCATGTCAAATGCCTTCATGGTCTCAGGCCTCTCCCAGTCTACAGCCCTCTCCAGCACTATCATACGCCGAGATCTCTGCCCTCCTCCAATTCTGGCCTCTTGCACATCCCAGATTTCCTTCGCTGCAGCATGGGTGACCAGGTCCTAAATTCTGGAATTCCCTCCCTCACTTCATTTGTGGGGTGGGATGGGGGGTGCTGCTGATTGGGCCCAGTGTTTATTACCCATGCCCAGTTACCTTTGAGGTGGTGGAACTGCTGTAGTTCTCAGGGTGCAGACACAGACACAGACACACACTGCAATGTTAGGAAGGGACAGGCTTTGGGGAAGTCAGAAGGTGAGTTACTCACTGCAGGATTCCCAGCCTCTGACCTGCTCTTGTAGCCACTGCGTTTATATGGCTGGTCCACTTCAGTTTCTGAACATTGCATGATCTGACTTGAAGAAGGGAAGAAGTGGGAAAATCAATAATGAACAGCTGAAGATGGTTGGGCCTAGTGTCCCCACCTCTGAGCTTGATGCCCAGGGTTCAAGTCCCACCTGCTTGTAGAATCCTTACAGTGCAGAAAGAGGCCATTCAGCCCATCAAGCCTGCACTGCCCCTCCAAAGGGCAATCTACCCAGATCCACCCCATCCCTGTAACCCCGCATGGGGATTTTATCATGGCTAGCTCACCTTGCCTGCACATTCCTAAACACTATGGACAATTTAGCATGGCCAATCCACCCTAACCTGCACATCTTTGGACTGTGGGAGGAAACTGGAGCACCTGGATGAAACCCAACCAGACACATGGAGAACGTGTAAACTCCACACAGATGCTAGACTCGACCCTCAGAGCATCCCACCCAGACCCAACCACCTATAACCCACCTACTCTATACATCCCTGAACACTACAGACAGTTTGTGTGTGTGAGTGTGAGTGTGAGTGTGAGTGTGAGTGTGAGTGTGAGTGTG